CCCCCCCCAACTTGGGGGGATCCAACTTTGGCCGGGGCATCGCCCCCCGCGCCGACCCGTGGAGCCCCCCCTTATTTTTGAATTGATTAACCCCCCCCCCCCCTCTTTCCCCCCTTTTCCTTCCCCCCTTTTCCTTCCCCCTTTTTCCCCACCACAAACCACCCAAGCTTCGGGGCCTTTAAGTGGGGCCTCGGGGAAGTCCTCCATTAAACCACCCCAGGCCCTTCCCCCGTTCCTCGGGGCCCGAGCGCCTTTTTCCAGCCCCCCCCCCCCCCCCGCGCCCCCTCGCCCCCGCCTGGCAGGTGCGACGTCATCTCCCTCCTCGGCGTGCGGACCGCCTCCGTCGGCGCGAGATCCGCCGAGATCCGCCGAGATCCGCCGAGATCAGCTGAAATCAGCCGAGATCAGCCAAGATCAGTCGACGATCAGTCGACGATGAGCAGAGATCAGCAGAGATCAGCAGAGACCAGTCGAGATCAGCTAACATCACGAGCCGAGACGAGGCGAGGCGAGGCGAGATGAGGAGAGGCTAGAGCGCGACCCCATCGGCAGCGAATGCAGCGTCGCCCCGGACCCCTCCCGCACCTCTCCCGGACTCTCCTGGACCCCTCCCGGACCCTTCCCGGACCCCTCCCGCACCTCTCCCGGACCTGTCTCAGACACGACCATGCCCCGCAGGCGGCGAGAGTCGAGTCGCGTCCGCCGTCGCCATCCACGACGTGATGGTCGAGCGGGCGCCGGCGCTGGCGGAGGCGCGAGACTCGCCCAGATTCGCTGACGTGTAGCCGATGCTCCGACGAGATCCAGACGCGACGGCTCTCCCCTCGTCTGCACCCCGCACGCGCGACCCCCGCCCCCCTACCTACGACGCCGCCAGGCCCTCTACCAGCCCATCGAGCGCATCTGGGAAGGCGGCGAGGGGGTCATCGCCCTTCCCATCTGGGCCTACACCCCCGACGGCAAGTTCACCACGCAGCTCTCGCCTTCGTACATCGAGAACGCGCAGGCAGCCCTCCCTGCCTCTCCCCCGCCCACACGCCCCCCTCCCCCCCTCCCCCACCGCACCCCACCCCCCACCTCACCCCCCACCCCACCCCACCCCAAACCCACCCACCCCAGCCCCCTTCGCCCCTCGTGCAGTATGTCAACGGCGTGCGGCGGCTCGAGCCAGACGAGATCGAGGCACAACGACCCACGCCGAGACAGAGCCGAGAAAGAGCGAGCGCCCTACCGCCTGTCGTTGATGCCGTCCATTGATGCGCTAGGCAGCCTAGTGAGGCGACTGGTGCTCGTGCGGCGGTCCCTTCATCACCCACGCCGGCATCGCTTCCCCTCCAGGCCCTCCACCACCGTCGCCCCCGCCTCTGCCACCGCCTCTTTCGCCACCGCCGCACCGTCGCCCCCGCCTCTGCCACCGCCTCTTTCGCCACCGCCGCACCGTCGCCCCCGCCTCTGCCACCGCCTCTTTCGCCACCGCCGCCTCTGCCTCCGCCCCCGACCCCTCCACCCACACCACCGCCGCCCTCGCCACCGCCGCCCTCGCCACCCGCACCACTCACAGGCGATCGACCTTGTCGAGGAGATCGGGCTCGAGATCGGGCACGAGTTTGTGCAGCAGCCGGGCCAGCTCACCTTCCTCAACAACCACCAGGCGAGATCTTCCAAACGGCGTCCTTTCGTTTGTCGCTCCAATGCCGACTAGCCCCTCCCTCCCCCCC